CTGTTCAGTGTTTTTACAAATATACAAATATTTAAGCATTGTTTTGCCATAATATTTTTAATTATATCCATTACACCTTTATTGTAGTCTCGAACGATAGAGAAACTACTCAAAGAACCACATAACTATCCAAGCATGCCCGATCACAGGTCAAGATGTATGCACTTGAATGCAGGCACTCTGATCTCGATTCAAAGCTGCTCCTCTTCCCTCTCGGGGATTCTGATGGCTGAAAATAGCATGGCTTCAACTCAACTGACTTAACAGTTCCTGCGAATCATGGCGGTTCCCTATTCTCAGTCTCTCACGTTCCTAATATGGTGAGGAAGATTGTCCAGGCTGCCAGCTTCTCCATTACTATCGAGAGTTAATTATCCTGTTATCACTTAAGAGTAGTTATTTGGATTGATGAAATCAACACAATCCTGAAAAACATTTGCAAATTTCAAATCACACCTCATAAACAACATACATGCAGTTTTGTTAAACATGGCAAAAAAGCCCCTACAAAATTAAGAATGCAGTTGCAATACTGTACTTCCAAAAATCTTCATTAATACATACATTAAACCCAAACATGACCACCAAATGTAAATTTGAGGGAAGAACCTTGCATATTAAAACTAGAGTGAAAAATGAATATCACTTATTTTAAGGTAGATTTGTGTCCATAACTAGATTATTGCTTGGTGCTAGACTTCAGCTGTGTAATGATGCATGATGAAAATACATCATGTGTAAGTTAACAGCAGATGCAGTATACGGGTGGTGTTTTGAATGTCACGCTAAGGCTTTAGGACAGAGAATCCTGGTCCTCTCAGCAATGTTTGGCTTGTAGACACTGATCATTGTCATATCATCCAGTTGATGTGAGGACCAAGGGTGGTATCAGGTGTTGTCTGACCACGAGAGGCCTCCAAGGGTCTTCATATTCAAGCAGATGAGTTAACTTCAAAGAAGAGGAGCTGCACTCCCTCCAGCTGAAAGTTTGGCGAGACCGCCCCAGAGAAGCCTCATTTACTCTGCTTCTTAGAAAGCCTGTTCCTCATGCCCCAATAGGCCAAAGAGCTATTTGGCTGGCAGAATGAACAGCATAATAATTACCTATGCATAAATTTCCATGGATGAGATCGCAGTCCAGACAAGACCACCAGGAATACTGTCAGGAGTCATATTTCTGCGCCTCATGAGATAGGAACTAAATACAAAACGCTGAAAGGTTAAACTTGGTTTCCTATCATGCAAACGCAGTATGCATAACAATCTCAAAATTGTAAGAAAAAAAAAGCACATCTAGTAAGGGTAAAACTTTTTAAGAGAGTTGGACCCTATGGATGCTGTCAATACAATAATGAGTTTGTTTACTCATAGATTTGATGTAGGCAGCAACTGACATGAACTGCATGATCCTGAAATACAAGTTTTTTTTTTTCAGGCAAAAAAACACTGAAAACTGCCTGAAGATGATTTATGCTTTTTTCAAAGGGGAATGACGTTAAGTGGTTCATTACATCGCTTCAAGCCAGAAAGTTATTTTTAAAGCAATTTCTTTCTAATACGTGGAGCATGTGAGCTTTTATTTTTTGTCATCTGAATGCACAACCACTATTTGGAGAAACAATACATGTTTTAAATTAAAATGTTTCTTTAATATATCAATCTCAAAAACATCTAACAGCAATTATATACTTAAAAAGCATTTATTATAAAGAAATTTAAAGGGATATGATTAAACAGAGGAGGCAACAATGATGGTTCATCATGCTTTCTGGGGGAATACCCCTATACATGGCACCCTCAGTCTGTAAAATGCATTCCTCTTCATTCCAGTGTTATGACATCACCAGCTCTGTTTGTTTACAGAGGCCTATCACATGGGCATTCTTCCCACACTCGCTTGCCCAGCAAAAACGAAGAAAGGCCAATCAGCCAAAACAACAAAAAACTGCACTGAGACAGAAAATCCCTTCTACCTCTCTGAGTTATGCTAATATACTTGAGGCTTTATTTCATGAGTCATTTAACTAGCCTAAAATAAACGGGAAAGTTTGCTTTAGTTCACAGTCATGTTGTAGTTTGTTCAGCAGAGCCCATATTCTGAAATAAGGTTTGTCAGCTTTATGTGTAACTAGATGGCATTTCAGAGAACTGAAATGATCAAGAAAGATTCAAAGCAGTAGCTTTAGATGCACTAATCTGAAGAAACTATAATACATCAAACTTTATTGGTCTTCAAAGCACCATAATATAGCCTACTCGAGAGCTCTATACAGCAAATCATTCTTTGTTAAACCTAAAAAAAAGTATTTTTTTGTTTCGTGTACTCTACAAGGAATACACTCAAGACACCTAGATATTTTCCATCCATTATTTGAATTACCTAACATGAATGGCTTAGATGTTGGACGAAGACTAATTTCTGATATCATGCACTAATAACAAAAATATATATGATTGTAATTATGACTTAGAAGATGAAAAGTTAGCCTGTTGTCGGAACTGGGGCGGGTTGCATAAACTGCTTAGACTAATCTTAAAAAATCAAATTTATTTTCTTCAAGACTGGTCATAACTTTTTAAAGTCAGTTACAAAAAGGTAGATTGGTCTAATGTGAATCCAAAAAGTAACACTGATTACCCCTTGGCTAACTGCTGGTTGGTCAAATTAGTTTGTAAGACACAGTCTTAACATAGTGTCTATGTTTATGCAACTGGCCCCTGATCAAAGAACTGGCATGTTAGGAGCCCAATCTATCAGCACTGCAAAGCATTTGGAAAGCCTCTGATACTCTTCCTTTAAACCATAATTGGCATAGACAGCAACACAACTTCCTGCTCAAGTCTTATAAAAGACTCAGCACACAAATTCTCAGCACTTTCCATTCATGTCAACACTGAATTCATTAGCACTACAGACAACACATTTTAACTGATGCCAATACTTTATACTGAGGAACACCTTTATTAAAGCCAATGAAAGAAGTTGAGAATTTCTCTGCTTCAGAAAGATACCACACTGCAATATTTATGATTGGTTGTTGATAATAACCAAAAGACGGGAGTTTCCACATCCCACAAATTGGTACATTAGACATAAGCTGGGGAGTCACAGATGTTCTCCCACCTTTTGGTGCAGATGAAATACAGTAAGATAGTGAAGCAGCTTTCAGTTTTCTCCGCTGTGCCAATGACTCATTTATTTGCACTAGCTAGAGTACTCTTGGCATCAATTTTGCCCACTCTATTTTTTATTGCCTCAGGATATGACTAAAAAGTAGCAGAAACACAGTCATTGGGTGGTCTTACCATTTATAAGTGGGAGTTTCTAAACTTCCTGTAAATAATAAATGCAGCCATGCTGTGCACAGAACAACCTCAAAAATAAATCCACACAGTCCAAATCTCTAAAAATTACAAAAGGCTGCTGCTCATTAGTGGTTTTGTGTTGCTTGTTACAGGTAAAACAACTCTAGTCTCTCAATACTTGAACAGTTTATTAATAGCACACACATGGAGTGTTTGCATGGACAACATCTCTCTCTTTGGCATTCAAAGTTCCCTAAAGGATAACCACAGCAATGCATACAGAATTCTGCACTGATACAGATGAAAAGGGCTCACTACACAGTCCTGAGATACTTCTGAACTGCACTTTTATGAATAATGCTGACATGCACAGAAGTTCTTCTCCCAGAGTCTTATTAGCCAAAGCCATGTCTAATTTTTTTATCAAAAATGAATGAACAGTATTATATTGAACTATCAAACTCAACTGTTTCCTACAAATCAACGATCAATCGGAGGTTCCTAGAAAGAACAATACCATTGCAGAATTCGCTTAGTTTGTAAACTATGTACCTGAATATGGACTACTGGATGCCCAGATTCTTAGAAATCCATTTGCAGCCCTTTAAACAAATCTTCTTTTGACATGAAGTCAAAATTACATGTATCTTTTTCTATGGTAAAGCTGGTCACTTGATTGGACCACCTGGCTCCAAGACTTGATTATTGTAGAAATGTACTCTTTCTCTGCCAATAACAATCATTATATTATTGTAATTATTAAACCTCCTTTGGGGTTAAGACTGTTCACACGAAGAACGATAACTATAACAACTATTTTTATACCAACAATATCAAATTGCAACAGACTGTTTAATTTATGTGCACACTGCCACTGTTCTGTGAGCACAACGCAGAGGCAAGCTTTAAAGTCGGGTGGATTTTGATTGGCTTCCAGTGTTTTTATCATTCCTTGGCTGGGAAAAATGCTCTGAAAATTATATAAACAATATTGCACCTCTGTGTTATCTTTAGAGTTGTGGTATGGAAGATAGAAAGATTTTTTAAAACTTTATGGTTATAGTTATCATTCTTGTTGTGAAAGGGCCTTTAAAGCCAAAATATTGTTAGTTCATGGCTCAATCCTCTTGCGAACTAAACCATCAACCCTCTGGTTACTTACCTTAAGCGGTATCCACTATACCACACCACCCCTTGCTAATGTGTGTTCAAAGCATTCTGTCACACAGATGATCTGAACTGAAATACAGAACAAACTATTAGCTAAATAACGTCACCACAAAAAACATTTTGTAAAGATGGACATTACAACTTTTATTATTAATGTATTCCAGCCACAACAATAAAATTTAACAAATGATCACTAGAAAAAAACTCTTCTTCCGTCAGCTGTACAATACATACAGTATCATTAAACTGGCCGCCAACAATAAAACCCCACTACAGCAATATTTGTAGTGTTTTCAGCAGCATTTCACAAAATGAAAACATTATACATATGTACAAATCCACATCAAATTCTCAACAAATTCACATATGTACAGTACGTATCTGTGGCTGAATATAAACAATGTCAACTTTGTTCCTCCATTTAAATATTTGTTTTAAAAAAAGAACTGACCTAAGTTGACAGTGGGTAGCTAGATTCAAGAGATAGGGTATACGTTTAAAAATCGTAAAAAGTACGTGCATTCAGGTAAATGCAATGACCTATTCTTTAATTCTTAATCCTAGTCACTGCAAAAACTTCTCACCTTAAGAGACAAGACAAAAATAATCTAGACCCTACCTTGCAAACTAACCAGTCTTCACTCATTGAGATTACACAACAACGATTGTTCCGTGAGCATTAAGTTTCAATTCAAAACACAAAAAGTTTCAAGCTATAAAAAATTCATAAATAAAAAGGTAAAGCACCAGTTATTTTCCCTTCCAGGACAGTACATGTTCAAAAGCAACTCTTCCAGCGAATAGCTTATAATTACACGAATGTAAACCTGTCAAGTACTACTGAGAACAGTATAGCCACATCAAACCACATAAATTCCTTTAAATTTGCCATTAATCTACTGTAGTGTAGACCACTCTAGACATTCTCTCTTTTCCTCATTTAGTTTCTTTAAGGAATGTCAAGAGATTTATAGGCACAAACCAAATCTATCATGTAAACATGTAAAAATTCTCTGGGCTACCTCATAACAGTCTGTCTGTTTCTTTTACCATAGTCTCTTAGATTATATTCTCTATTCTTGATATTGACAACAATGATGATGGGAAATGCAACAAGCCTCAGATCGCATAGCTTTTAGTAAAATGCATTTTTAATCCTCATCCATTAACACGCTATTTATCTGACAGGATCTGGGAGTGGTGATTAAAATTTCAGTAGCACACAAATCAATGTATCCTACCATTACTTAATTGTGGCAAGACCATTTACAAGATTTAGGTATTAAACCAAGTGGGACTTTTTGTTATTATAGACCAGATTGTATGAATGCTCCTTCAAAGCAGCATTTAACACAGCCCTGAGATAAAAACTTAAAAGTGTTGTTCCCCCTTTCTTGGCCATTTGAGCTTTCCTAGAAAAAAATCCAACTAAAGGTGCTACGAAGCAGTTCATAAATGGTGGATATGCATTAACGACTCTTATTCCTAAAAATGCCACACTTCTGAATGCTCAGCTTTGCACAATTTCCAATATTATAATTCCAAAGAAAAAAAAGAAATGAGTGTTCAACTGACTAATTTTGGCAACACTGTCCTTTGTTGTATATTCCCATTGGCATCAGTCATTTGTGCCAGGTTAGTCCTTAACTTTGTGGCTGAGCCAGAAGGGGGAGGTAATTTGGAGATTGAAGTTATAGCACCAGTACTCTCAGGGATCCGCTTTACCGTGGTTTTCTCCCCAGTGGGAGGTTTTGGCAAGCGTCTTCTGAGCCATGGGTGGCGGAGGGCCTGACTGGGAGTCATACGCAGGGACGGGTCCCACTCTAAACACTGTTTGAGAAAGTCCAAGAAGAGGGGGTCGTCACAGCCCTTAAGTGCTGTCACCCAGTCCCTGCTGCCAGGTGGACCTCTAAGTTTGCCCCTTCGTGACCTTCCCCCATTCAACACCACCGAGCCATCAGGTAAGGTTGTGACTGTGCAGTAACGGGGGTATCCCTTTGAACTGATAAAATTTTTGGCTCTCTTAGATGAATCCAGTAGCTTCTGGGAGGGCATACCCAGCAGCTCTATGACACATGCTAGCTGGTCCCCTTCATCTTCTCCAGGCAAGAGAGGGTACCCTGTAAGTAATTCTGCTAAGATACAACCTAAGCTCCACATATCAATTGGCATCCCATATCGAGCACCCAGAATGACCTCTGGGGCCCTGTAGAAGCGTGACTGGATGTAAGTGTAGACCCGTTGATGCTCATAGCAGCTGGAGCCAAAGTCGATCACTTTTATCCCACTGCGCCCCTGCTGCTTCAAAAGGATATTCTCAGGCTTGAGGTCGCAGTGAATGATTCTGTTCTTGTGCAAGGAATCAAGACACTGCAAGATGGAGTGTGCAAACTTGCGCACTAACGGCAAACTAAAGCCCTGAAACTTGTTTTTCTTGACAAGTTCATAAAGGTTCATGCTGAGCAACTCGAACGTCATGCAGATATGGTTGCGGAATGTAAAGTTCTCCAGCATGTGGATGACATTCATGGTGAAGTCCTTATCCTGTTTGCGCAAGTGTTCCAGAATGCGAATTTCCTCAGCTGCTTGGCGATGGAATCGCTTTTCATTACGCACCATTTTCAGGGCCACTTGCTGGTGGTTCTTGTGGTCATAGGCCTTCACCACCTGGCCAAAACTGCCTTTACCAATAACCTTTAGTACCTCATACCTATATGCCATATGGTCATGGGGCACATGAATGTAGGAGCCTTGATCATCATCATAACCGCCATTGTTTGACCCCCCAACTACACCTTGTCTTTTCTTTGCATTTGGACCTATAAAATAGATCTCAGGGTAGCTGATGATCTCTTGGTGTTCAAACACTGAAAGCTTAGACATGTACTGTTTCATGGCCTGCTCAGGAGTCAAAGGTGCTGGCTTCGGTTTGCTTTCAGTTGATTTGATGGAAGTTGTGCTGCCTTGTCGACACTGGCTGCTTTCTTGCTGCTTTTCTGGCATGGCTAGACCTGTTCTACCTACGGGTGTCAACCCATTGGGTTGTGCAGTCAACACTGTCCGTTTGTTGCTGTTTTCCTCAAACAGCTGTTGAACGTGGATCTGCTGGTGATTCCCAACTTGCAGATGGTCATTCATTGTGTGCTTATTGCCTCCAGCCTGGATAAGGTGAAACAAAAACAAGAGGCATCGTTTGAGGATTGTTTCCAAAATATATGGAGAAAACACAGCAGATATAGCATGGCAAATTTAGATTTGACACAAAAAGAGAGACCGCTATGGAATCTTTTGAAGGTACTGAATGTCCAAGTCATTCCAACCCTGTCAATGCTGACAGAAAGATCCTAGGTCTAATATACTGTAGCAAGCAAAATATTCAAAGCAGACTCTCAACAAAGTGGAAAGTGGACGGGAGATCACTTCAGGCCAGATTACAGAGTTGTTGTAAGAATGACTAACAAGTTTTCCATGATTTTCTACAATAGGCTTTCATAAATTAGATTTTTTTTTGTTTGTTTGTTTATTCAAGGATATTAGACATGAATTTCCTGCTTTACTGAATCTCCTGCCCAGCAAGATTCTTGCTTCCTTGATAATGTGATTACCTCTGCATCTTGTTTTTACAAGGACATCCTGTTGCTTCAGTTAGACGTTTGTGGCAACCTTCTCATTCTACACAAAAACAGAAACTCTTACACCTTTGAACATGACTCCCCTTGACAGGGCTGTTGTCCTGTTATTTCAGACTGATAGTTTTAATGGATTAGTGTTTATTTATGTGTATTGAATGGTAATGCTCACAATCCACTTAATTGTACTTTATTGTCTAATCTCAGCCGTGCCATATTCACATGCAGAAAAAGTGATAATCCCCAAGTGTAAATAACATTAGTGCAATACAAGACTTCTGATTTTTACTATCCTTTTCATCTCAACCTCTAATCCCCCAGATGGTCAGTGCTGATGTTTCTACACCTCTGACTGAAGATAAAGAGTAAAACCCAGCTTGAACTCTAAATCCAAGGGCTCTGATACAATCTGCTCTTAACACACTCAATATACAGCCATATTTCTTCCTTCTTCCCTGTCTCACACAAGACAAGAGCAGTGACAATGATGTACTGTTTAACAACAAGCCTCTAGTTTAGAAAAGTGTATCATTCAAATATAAATATAAATGTAACCAATAGCTAATCCTAAATCAATAAACCAATATTTAAGTGTCAAATAAATCACACTGGTATAAATACGTGTATGCTGTAAAGCAGTGGTCGCCAACCCGTCGATCGCGATCGACTGGTAGATCTTTATCACTGTCCCAGTAGATCCCGAACAAAACAGTAAAATAAGTACAAAAATGCATTACATTTATGGGGTTATATTAATGTATCACTGAAGGGTACTGTCTTGAGAAAAGTTTCGATGGCAATGGCATTTTCTTTTCCGTATAAAGCGCAACTCTGCTTTGTTTACAGCGGTTAACAAGGAAGCGCTATAGTGCAGTCGGTTCATAAGCAGTGTTGCCAAGTCCGCGGTTTTCCCACAGAATTGGGCTACTTTAACACTGTTGCCGCGGGTCGTTGTTCATGTCCGCGGGTTGAAGCGACCCCAATAACGTGATATTTAGTCCCTGGAATGTGAATTTTACGGATCCCCGCCGAAAAACGTGTATTTTACCCCCGGAATGCAATTTTTACAGGCGAGCCCTCCTCCAAACGCGTTTGGACTCGTTTTATTGCGAAAACCTGGCAACCCTGTTCGTTAGTACCACCTTCTCATTCAGACCTGCTGTTTTTGTTTTGTGCAGATGTTTTATGTAGCAAATAAATAAATAACACCTAAAGTCAGACCATTCTGTTTTTGTTTTAAATCCTGAAATTAATCTAAATCAAATCAAAAACAACTGCCTGTGCAGATCATGATTAAAATGCAGTGGTTGCCTCTAATTTTGCCTCTAATTAAAGCCAGTTTGTTTGTTATAAAGCAAATAGCCAATAAATAAATTTGCTTAAAAATCAGTATCAGAATCCAATTTGCTAGTTAAAAAGAAAGAAAAGAAAATCTGAATTCTGAATCAGCTATGATCGGCGCATCACTAATTAAAATACTAAGTAAAAGGCCTCAAATTTGAAGTACAATCTGGGATGTCTTTTTCTATCAATTCTTCAATAGGTAGATCTTGTCTTTCATAAAGGCCGAGGTCAGGGATCTTGGGCCTAAAAAGGTTGGTGACCACTGCTGTAAAGCATAGATTTATGGACTAGGTAAGGCAAGGGAGTCTCAATATTTTACCAGCCATCATAAAAAATAAACACTCTAAAGTAACATCTAAAGTTACAATTTCTGAAAATGTCTATAAGAGCTGTGCAAAAGTGTCCCACTGACAGACTATTGAGATTATGCATCGTACAAAAGATGGGTACTCTGATAGGAAGAGTGAATCTGAATAAAGCTTCAATTTCTTCCTTTTGTTGTACTTGGCTGCTCTGTCGGTTAATTCAAACATGATCTGGACAGGTGGGGGGTCGTGCAAAGGGCATGCTTGCTGACAGCTGTAGAGGACACAACTGGAGCTGATCAAGACACATTTGGTCTGAGAGATGTAGTGAGCATGGTAATCATTCTAACGCTCACTTACTCTGCAAAGTACATATACCGCATGGTAGGAATACTAAAAAGCTATGGGACTGGCCTTAATGAGATTAACTGGACTTTGAAAGGCATGACACTCAAATTTAACCAGACAGATATTTTGAGCAAATAAAGACAGAACAAATATTGCTGTCCTTGTAATTACTATATCACTTGAAGTAGGGTTGTCAAAATGGCTGAAAAACTAAATTCAAATTTTGTACTGAAATATTATCAAAATTCGAATTATATTCGAATTTAAAATGCATAATTTCAGTTAGGGTGAAAAAAGCTTTTGGCTTCTCTTCTGAGGCCACAAGAAGGCGCATCGAGCAAAATATTACTAATGCACGTTTATTCCGTAAGATAACATGACTATCTGTGAAAAAAAGTGCATAATGTTTAAAATAATGTTTATAAACTATATATAATTAAGTTGCTTAAACAACTATAAATAAAACAGCATCATATATGTATGCATAGTTTAATACAAAGGGCGGAAAGCCAATCACACGGAGTACATTTTTCATTTAAAAACATGAGATGCAGTGAGATGGGGAAAAAACCCGCCATAAAGTCTCGATATACGTTTTAAAAAAAAATTAAACCTACATTCATTTTACATGGCTTCCTAAACATGCGGCTCCTTTGTGCGAGATGCGAGTGTAACGGTGATAGATGTCCCTCTAGAAAATGCGCGAAATATGTGTTCCGTGTGGATGGCTTGGTTTCAGTTTTGACGTAAACAAGATCTTCTCCACATTGATGTTCTCTTTTTCCACAATATTTTGAATGAACAACGCAGCAGCGCCGCATCTAGTGGCTTCAACTGGATAGGCTAACAAAAACATTATAATGCAATGACACTTACATCGTCATCGCATCTCGTGCACCACTGATAAGGCTGCCTGACGCACACCTAAAATTCGGATGCAACGTTTTTGCATTCGAATGTGGATTTTTATTTTAAATTCGACGAATATTGGAATTTTTTTTACAGCCCTAACTTGAAGACTAGAATGTCTTCTTTCATGAATGGTTGGCCAATCTGTAACATTTAGCATAGAATTCGAAGTAACCTTCCAAATAGCTTTGAAGCCAAAATTCAATGCACAGTGCGTCCATAACTTTTCTACTAAATGCCATATGTAATTTGACTTTGTAGGCAATTGTAAAGCACATCATAAATGGGTTTTTAAGACCTTATACATAATCAGTTCTATATACCATATACAAAATCAGCACTAATTTGTTGATGTAATCTGTTACATAACCAAGTAGGATATCAACTTAAGCATTGTCACGTCATAGGTCATCATGACACTTAATTACCAAGTAATAAGCGAGGGCAAGGTGCAATAATAATTATAATTCCCAGTAAAATTTGAAGCTTATTCTGCATCTTCAGAAACCTGAAAAAAATCCTAAATGGAAGCCAAGCATGGTCTGCATATTCTTCATTTATTCACTGAAACAGGGCAAAAATATTGACATTCATGTATTTGCATCTTATCAATTAAATATGTTGGTTTAAGAGCTAGACTTGCAAATATAATGCTAAGATGGATGAATTACATATGGCAGGAATTCTGTCTTGTAAGAGAATGCAGACATACAAATGCACCTACCATGTGAGCCTGTGTCTATATTTACCCCTATTTGAATGACAGCTAAAAGAACTCCCGGGTACTTAGTCATAAATGGCATTGATCCAATTCTTGTATTTAATTCAGAATAACTTGTCAAATACATTTACATGAACTGCAATTCTTTAAACATAAACTCATTATTGATTAATTATTGATTATTTTTGAATATTATAATATCATGTTTATATTCCTATACCATGCAAAACATCCTTGCCATGCAGACTCAATGTATTATAATTTGGATGTATAGATTTACATGAGGAAATTCACTACATGACAGATTTCAGCTGTGCCTGTTGGCATCACTGATGGCCTGAGCATTTTCCATCCCCCACTAATGGAAACATCTCCACACAATACATCAGCCAATGACTGAGAGAGCCACTGATCATTATTACTACTACTCATATTCCTTTCCTCAAAATAAATGTATTGCTCATTGTGACTTGTAAGGAACTATTCTTTGTAAAACTGTAGTGAAACAATTTTTTTGTGTGAAAAGCACTATATAAATACATTTTAATTGAAATGAAAATGGTTTTCTTCATGTGCATATATCTCTAACATTAATCTAAAAGAGTGGGGAAAACATATAAACTGTAAACTAAATACAAAGTTAATATTTCCACATCATATTTTAAATAAGTGTTGGACTCAGTACATGTGACTATAAAAAGCAAAATAACAAAGGGGATATGCATGGTGGAACGTGCAAGCAAGAAGGTTAATTTTACCGTGAGAGAGTTGCTGTTCCTGAGTGGTGGTAATGTAACGGGTGATGTGGCTTCAGTCCCTGCTCCAGCCCGGGGACCCCCGATGCCCAGTCCTGGGGAACACTGTAGCTGGCAAATCTCACCCCCTTTGCCTGTGAAAGTCAGTAAAAATGTATTTGGGAAAATGTTTACACAATTGCCTGCCAGTGTTTTTAAAAGGCAAGGGATGTAATTAAAGTCTAGCTGGTCCAGAAAAAGGAAAAACTATAGCCCCGTGACGTTACCTGTATTGATACATCAGTTGTATTTCAATTATGAAATTTATAGAGGACCTGAATGATATTTAAACCATTTAACAAACGAAAATAAACATATAACACAACGAAACCCTTTAATACAGACACACGAGCTATAAAACGACCATTACATCTAAGAGCTATTAATCCAAAGCGCTTGGTTTCTATATCTAGTTTCTATAGCAACAGTAATAATTATCTAATAAATACAAAAACGGCCGCTTTTCCAGTGCTGTTTCCGGGGCTTATTGCTACTACTCGACCATGCAGTCAACGGCGAGCAATGAAACGAAAAAGCTGCGAGCCTTACAAGCGTTATGGAGCATTTAAATCCTATAAATAATCCATCTCCACAATCCAATCCGGAGAATAAACGAGACCGGCGTCGCCCTCTCAGATCCGGGCATTGGGTTCCTTACCAGTCGGGTAGACAGCGGCAGCAGCAGCGCAGGGTTTCTTGGTTAACATGGCCGCTGGAGAATCACACACACACACACACACACACACAGAAAAGCCAATTCAGAGTCTCTCCCCTCCTCCCTGTGATCACCCACTCTGACTGCTGCTACTCCAATCAGCTACATCCAGACCTGAGCGAGCAAACTCTAGGGGCTGCTTCCTCAAACGCTACCCGAATTCGCGTTATCATCGCTTGGAAACGTGCAAAACAAACAAGGACGCACAAATGGCTCTGCGCTGCTCCGCACTTTTGGGCCTAGGAAATTCTGCACAGCCCGTGGCATTCTCTCACATACATACAGTAACCGGAATAAACTTTAAACCGGTTTAGGGTGTTGTCTGGATTTATTTATCACCCTCGTTCGCCTCCACCTTCTTTACTCTCCCCTCCCCGTGCGGCAAGCCCTTTTCACATTTATCTATGAATAGTATCTAGTAAAAGGGTCCTATTATGCTCTTTTACAAAGTCTTGATGTTGTTTGGGGGGTGTACTAGAACAGGCTCTCATACTAGGTTGTTCGAAAAAAACATTATTTTCCACATATTTTACATTATTACAACACCTCTCTCCCCCGGCTCGGATAGTTCCTGTATCAAATGAAGGCCCGCCTTCTGAAATACGAAATTTTCTGTGATTGGTTAGCTGGGCTAGTGTGTGTTGTGATTGGCACCACTCGGTGCCTGGTCAGGAAATGTCATGCCCCTTACCATAGCCGCCTGCCAGCTTCAGTGTAAATATTGCATCAAAATCAAATCAATTTGAGCGCGATTTAAACCCGGATGATTGTAACCACTCTAAGTTCGTCTGCCCTGGGAAAACTAGCACATCTCCGACATAGTGATAACACTCGTTGCCTTCTCTAGTGCAGCTCAACCAGGTCTCCTCCCATTCGTCGGTATTTGTGATATCACAAATTCCGAAAAATATGCGTTGTAATCCAAACGAGTCATTCGTTGTAGTTTTTGAAAAGTGATTTCTGTTAAATAAAATATCTCCTTTTGAATTGGACTTTGAGCTTTGTAAGTTTGCAGATCTTTTTTATGCTCAAACAGCAACATTACAGACTAACTAAAGTTGAAAAAGTGAAAAAGCATAATAGGACCCCTTTAATGCAATAGTGACTAGTGTCTTTTACAAAGGCACTAGTAACCATTAATTTGGTTCTGGTATTTACTCCAGATGTGACTATTATCTATTACGATTACATTATTCCTTAATCATGAAATACCAGTACTTATTTTTAGTCAGTTGTAATTGCTTAAAGCTTTTATACTATGCCCTGGTAACTGTAATAAATGAATGATTTAATGAATCAGTGATGCAAAACGCAAGTCTACTATTAAAATAAAAACATAAGAATTCATGTTAAAATGGCTTGCCATACTCACAGAGCAAAGTCCACCAATCACAGTCCCAAACAGAGCACAATTCTCTTAGTAACACACCTGATGCCACAGTTTGTTAATATGTGCATACTGTACTTTTTTTCATGCTTTCAATCCTGATTAAATCATACACAATAATAGCATGCAATTTTGTGATCAAAATGTACTTTTGAGTTTGAAGGGTCTAAAAAAAAGAGTTGGTATTTCACAGAGTCAGAGAGTCATAACTAGAAATGAAAGTGTAGACTTTCTTGATTTCATGTGAATATTCTTACATGGGTGTGGTAATTAATCATATGAACATTCAGTTCGCCCATCTGAAAGTTGATGTCTGTGTCAAAGCTCTATAAAAGGTAACACCCAGATTGCCTTAAATAGCTTAATAGTAAATTATATTGCATTATATTTGTAGCTTTCAGTTGGGTTTTATTGACCAGCTGGTAACAAATTAACATTTTTAATTATTAATTTCCTTTTACACTTTCGGCACCTGTTATTTTGACATAACAGTTGAAATTACTGTCCACTAGAGGGTGGAGTGAGTGCAGCATAACATTACTGCCTCCACGTGTCCTGTACATTTAGTTCCCAAACAAGAGCCATGTATGTACATATTGGATTATGTTGCTTAATTTGATTGCGTAATTTGATTTTAGTACAGTTGCATCTTCTACACACTGAAGAAGGCTTTTAGCCGAAAGGTTTGTGTTCTGTCCTACTTTTGATTAATGTAAAATAAGACTATTTTTGTTGAGTGCGGATCATGGTTTTATATACTAAGTACAGTTGCATCAAACACAACACTACACATAAATCATGTCCAAGATTCCTCTAATATCACAAAAACTTACAACATCACAGCTGCTGGTAAATCATTCCTATAAATACATCAATACAGATAAAAAAGATAAATGCATATCTAGCATGCATATCAAAGCACATTCTACAGTGATTAGGTTATATGTGATGTGATTGAATCTGTATTATTATCTAAGTGTATTTACCAAGTTAAACATTCATAAAGCACAATAGCAATGATTGATATTCACTCTTATTCCTCTGAGTGAGTGTTGTGGTTTTGAGGTTCATCAACTCAGATCATCCTATTTCAGTCTTTGAAAAGTGGTATCTGATATCCCAAAAGATGTGATTTGAGGTTTTTGATAATGATCACGTACCCCAATCTGTTTGTGTCAGCAGTTTCAGACTCAGCATTTAAAGATAATAATATTATCTCAGTTTCAATCTGCTAGTCCTGACAGAAAAAGAAAAAAAACTTCTTGCACAGCACTGAATATAAGGTAGTTATTTTAGAGAGTTTACTATCAAACGTTTAGCAAATCCAGTGATTATTTCATCATTAAAAGCACTCCATGTATCAGTCCAGTACCTTGTAAACATGACGTTGTTTCCTGGTGGCCTGATTAAAAAAATGCTGTGACCCCTTACTCCAGGAAGTTGTGTAAAGCCATCCAATTAGATTAGACCTCTCAAGATTGAGAAAGTACTTCCTAGTTTTGTATGCATCAGATATGCAATATGCATCAGATGCTTAGAACACAGATTGTGGGAGGGTTGTTTGAGGTTGCAGACTACGGCTATGATAACAGATTTATAAAATGGTCCCCTCTTTGTACCATGATGTCTTCTTATACTTATGCCATCAGCTTAGGGGGAGGATGCAACATGCAGGTCTTGGTCTATATTTAGCTGCTTTGCTTTTAGAACTGCTGGAGCATCTAGGCATCAGATCGGTGATCTGGGAATGTGTGGGGATTCCAGACTGAGCTTTCTACGCTTGGCAACATACTCACTGAGGCACATGGATGCAGTGAAAGCCTTCTAAATATGGAGATAAATATGCAGCAAACACAGATACAGTTTAATGCCATATTCTAATATCACATACTGTATGTTCACCATATAAAGCACTTTTATTTACTACTCATCTTGCTAAAATGACAAAAGAAACACAAAAGTGGTCTGCTAAAAGCCAGAATGAACCAAACATCCCAGTATATGTCCCCCCTGGTGACTAATTAAAGCGTGTATAACCTCACCCCTGCTGGAGCATCTAGGCATCAGATCGGTGATCTGGGAATGTGTGGAGATTCCAGACTGAGCTTTCTATGCTTGGCAACATACTCACTGAGGCACATGGATGCAGTGAAAGCCTTCTAAATATGGGGATAAATATGCAGCAAACACAGATACAGTTTAATGCCATATTCTAATATCACATACTGTATGTTCACCATATAAAGCACTTTTATTTACTACTCATCTTGCTAAAATGACAAAAGAAACACAAAAGTGGTCTGGTAAAAGCCAGAATGAACCAAACATCCCAGTATATGTCCCCCCTGGTGACTAATTAAAGCGTGTATAACCTCACCTGCTCTGCTGTAACAATAATGAACCCTGCAGACAAAACACCTCATAATTATATCCAGTCGTGGGGACAGATAGGGGTAGTATACACCTGAGAGCTTTTCAAAAGCACCCACCCACCCACACACACCTGAGAGTTTTTACTGTTTCCATCATGTCCCATAATTTAACAATAGACTATAAAAAGCATTTCTGTACACACATGCTTTCTTCCAAAATCTAATGCAAGCTCTGAAAAAGGAAATACAAGATGGCAGATGAGGCAAAATGTTGACTGATACCAACATTAAACAAAAAGGTATTATTATGAACTGTACATGTTTTTGCTTATTAGAGTATCATGCCATTAGCTTAGCAGCAAGTTAATATCAATAAATAAACTATTGGAATCAATTGTCAGGAGTCGAGTCTCTTGTGCACATTGTTATTTTTGTGGCACATGTGGTTGGTGCCCATGTAAAGCATTGAAACGGTGTCACTTATTAGGTTACTTGACATTTAGGAGGCTGCTTTTGAAGCCAGCTGTCTGTGTAGACAGTAGGCATCAAGTCATTTCACTAGATTTTGGAACAGAGCTTAATAATTTCCTTGCATTGACAATAGACAAAAACCTCTCATCAGTAATTAAAAGACTCAACAGATGTACACCAATTAAACCCCAAACTCATTAGAGTACTCCTTGCTATTATATTTGAACATATAATAAATAATCCACCAACACTAAAACCCTTTCAGACAGGTACTAGTGCAATATTTTTGTGGCACATGTGGTTGGTGCCCATGTAAAGCATTGAAACAGTGTCACTTATTAGGTTACTTGACATTTAGGAGGTTGCTTTTGAAGCTAGCTGTCTGTGTAGACAGTAGACATCAAGTCATTTCACTAGATTTTGGAACAGAGCTTAATAATTTCCTTGCATTGACAATAAACAAAAACCTCTCATCAGTAATTAAAAGACTCAACAGATGTACACCAATTAAACCCCAAACTCATTAGAGTACTCCTTGCTATTATATTTGAACATATAATAAATAATCCACCAACACTAAAACCCTTTTAGACAGGTACTAGTGCAGAAACGGTTAGTAAAATCTATAATATTCATATAAATATTTGCATAAAGCTCAAAACAGGTGGCAGGTGTATCTCAGAACCTGGGCTCCTTTTGGCCGATTAGGATTTTGGGCCAAAACAAAAGCACAGATGGCTGAAGTACCATTTCCATCTGGTTAATAATACAGTCAGGTTTATGAAATGAGCCTGTGTGTTGTTTAGTAATTCAATCTGTTGTCATCCCCTCACATCAATGGCAAAAAAATCAATAGATACTGGGTTGGAGAGCTATCTTGCAAATCAACACTCCTGACACAGCTTGACTGATGAGAGACTCAACAAAATGGTGGCTGGTTATGTAATAAATGAGTCATGTTCACACGTTAGACTATATTTGCATGCACACTCCCTGCCCACGCAGACTGTCTGAGCAAATATAAACATGCAATCACACCAAAAGA